GCCCCGCCCCGCGCCGCCCCGCGCCGCCCCGCCCCGAGATGACAGCTGCTGGCGGCGCGCGAGTCCGCGACTTCCGCCCGCGGAGGATGGATGCTGGATGGGTGGCTGAATGGACCATCGCGTTACATCCATTCATTCGCTCCCTGCTCTCAAGACGCGTGGATGTTTTTTCTGTGTAGGGGTTTGGGCCCGAGGGGGAAATCACTTTCGAAATAGTTCGTACACCTTCCCCCGAAGTAGTCTGAAATAAAGGCGAAATAGAGCGAAATTAAGACGAAATAGACGCGAAATAGTCGGCGAAGTAGTTGCGAAATACCCCTGAAATATTCCGAAATAGTGCGAAATAGTCTGATATAATCCGAAATATGCCAGAAATAGCCGAAATGGCAGGAGAAAGACCACGAAATAGTCCGTACGCTACGAACGCTAGTGATTTCCCCCTCGTTTGGGCCGCAGCAGGGGCGGGCTTTGGCAGGTCGCGACGACGACCTCGCGCGGGTGGTCAGCAGCAGTGCGCGGCACGCAGTACAAGCACACACCCCTCTGCTGCCGCCCACCCGAAGGAGGTGTCGTTACATCTTGTGCAATGAGTCCGTTTGTTTGACCCCCTCGACGGGATGGCCGATGGCCGCCACCCGGCCGTTATCCTCGGCGCAAAACTAAAATATAGTTTGCGCTGCCGCCGCCTGCCGCTGCCGGACAATGCTAAGTGTGTGCCAACTCTGGCGCGTGGCGCTGATCAACGTCGCGGACGCGGGATTAACGGCGACAACCTGTGGTGCAGCGTGTTTGTTGGGAAATGATTATTTATTTTTGCCCTCGTGGTTTATTCTCGTCGCGATGGGTCTGCCCGTCCATAATACGTATACGACGCGCGCCGCGAGCTGCAAGTGCGCACACAACATGCAAGTCGTCTGGTCTGGTCCGAGGTGGTGTGCCCCATTCATCTTCCTGGTTCTGCGGTTGAGAAAGAAACATTTTTAACTTGCGTCTCTCTTCTCTTCCCTGCTGTTTTTTGCTTCAAAACTTTACGAACCGCGAATGGAAATGTCAACTCTGAACTCGCGTGGTTTTCGCGTTCGTGACGCGCCTCTGAATGCGCGCCCGACCCTCTCGACATGACCCCGACCAAAATCGGCTACACTCAGCAGCAGCAGCGGTGGTGGGCCCTCGCGGCTAGCTCTGCTCATCCGACCCGACGACGACCACACCGCGCTACCCACACAGTGTCATGCTGGGCTGGCGAAACCCCTCCTCTCTCCCTCACTCTGATGGAGAATCGATTTTCGTTTCGCGAGGCAAAACGTCGAAGTGTCCTTGTGGAGTCCTAACACTCCGCGCGCCCGTCCAACAAATAACTGCAGGTGGTTTGCTGTGTTTGCTGACGCCGTGCTGCCCTTTACCGTGGCGTTTTGCCGCGTTTGCTGTCGCTTTCTGTGGTCTTCCCCCTGTAGGTTCTAATCCTCCCCGAACCCATCACTACCCGTCACTACCCGTCGAGCCTAATGTAATTTTACCACCGATTGTTATCATTCTTTCGAATGGGTCGCACTTGCACAATCGGTCGAGCGGTGCTGGTGCCCAGCACTCAGATGCTGCTGCGGCTGTCTTCGAAAATTGCGGTACGTCCACAAATTGCACGCGTTTTCCATAGCATAGCCGAGCCGAGCCTTTACCTTCAGCGCTGCGCGGC